TCGCTGGGGTTGTCCCCCTGTGATCACCGCAGCCCTCTGAGTGGGTATCCAGTCCAGCTCCGGCGATCTCCGCCGCTCCTTGCCGCCGTCAAGGTCGGGCGGCGACTGCTTCCGGTGCTTCCTCATGTGCCCGCCGAGCGCCTGCCCTGAGAGGCACTCCTTGCCGCACACCTCGCACCTGTGTACTTTGCCGTGGGGCCTCCCAACAGCGACCGCCAAGCTGCCATGGCCGCCGGCCTCCTCGACAACTCCATCGCCGCCGCCGTGACCACCGTGGTTTGCCGCGCCGGCGAACATCTCCTCGTTGATGATGCCGGCATTGCGCCCGAGGAAGCTTCTGGTATCGACATCGTGATGATGTGCTGCGAAGTCCACCGTCTTGTTCCCAGCTGCGGCCTTGTCCTCGCCGTGAGCGGCATTGCCGTCGGCAGCCTGTTGGCCCGCCGTGGAGGGCTTCACGCCGCGGTCACCATTGCCACCACCGGCAGCGTCCTCCGGACTCACTGCCGCGGCGATCGCGTCCTTGGCCTTCTTCCGGTGGCCGAAGTGCACGTGCCCGCCGAGCGCCTGGTGGCTGCCGAAGCATCTCCCGCACATGTTGCACAGGAAGCGCCTGGGAGCTCCCGCCGCCGCCGCCGCCGTCGTCTTCTGCTCTGCCGTCACGTCCCGATGCTGCGGCCCCAGGCTACTCCCCTTGCCATGCACCACGCCGTGACCGCGACGCTTCTTGTTCTTCTTCCCCAGATCAAAAAGATCGCCCCGCTCCGGGGAACTCTCCTCGTTCCCAGACACCTCCCGGGACGAGGAGGCGACGCGCGGGGCCACCAGGCCAAGGCGAGCGTCCTTGGCCGCCGCCGGAGGGTCGTCGGCCAGTAGCATCGCCCGGAGACGCCTCTTCCGCCCGCCGCCGCCTCCTCCCCCTCGCGGCGGCATCACGCCGTGATCACCGTCATCGCCGCCCGCCTCGACCGGCGCGGGCTGGCGCGCGAGGAACACGAAGCGGTCGACGTCGTCGTCGGAGTCCGAGACGTAGCGCTCCTCCTCGCCGGCCGCTCCTCCCTCCTCCTTCTCCTCGACGAGAAAGCTCGGGCGGTGGTGGCCGAGCGGATCTCCCGACATGGCGATGGCGGTCATGTGTGGTGTGGCGGCCGGCGTGCAGAGCGTGCGTTGTGGCGGTCGAGCGAGCCCTAGTTTGCGCGTATATATAAGGAAGGAATAGGCCGGGTCGCGCCGATCGGGAGAGCAGCTGCTTGCCTCGCGCGCTGGATGTGGCTGCTGTGCTGGGCACGGTATAATATGCACGGTCGGATGTGAGTCCCGCTCGGACCCGAGTCCGGCGGCGGATCCTCTTCTCACCCTGCAGTCTGTCTTTGACACGGTTTGCGTGAATCTGCGATCGATCCTGATTCCAAACCTTTTCTCCCAAGAAAGGCAGCATAGACGCAGATGCTCGTATACAGGCATATAAATCCATTCCTATGAATACGCACACGGCACACGCACATCTTGTCCATATGATCATTTCCGAGGGACTGAGCTGGCGGGTCTTGAAAACCAGGGTTTGCTTCGAATTACGTGAAAAAGAATGGGATCCCCTAGTCCGTTGAAATCAAAATTCAGTTTGAAACCTTTTGTAGCGCTACCTGAAGCAAATGCGCAAGTTTTTCATCTTTGACTCGTTTGAAACTTTTGCTAGTTCGGCTTTGTTGGTAACGAAAGCACTCCTTTGTTCGCCTGATTGATTGGTGAGGAGGTTGAAGCCGAAAGCTAGCCGGCACAATACACGAATTCGGGCGCAGGGAATTATAAAGGCAAGACGGGAGCACAAATTAATTTAAAGACCAAGTCAATTGGCACCAAAAGACTTGACTTAATTCAAGCATAATCTTTTTTTACATAAGCTATTCGGTATTTCCGAGCTCATGACACTTATGTGATTTCGATCCGGGAAGCAAGACTTACTCTTGGTTGAGGTTGAGCATGGGGTGCTGCACCCACTTTTTTTTGAAAAGGCAAAGTATCACGGATAAGTGCCCCTGGAGAAGATTTTGATCCTCAGGCTGGCCTTCCAGCCCGGCTTGAGTCTTGGGGGCTACTGGATCCACATTTATTCAAAGACAATAAGTCAATTAGCGAGGAGATTCGATCCTCGGGTCGGCCATGTTCTCCTTCCTAAGTCTTGGGGGCTACTGCATCGACATTTCAAGGCTGTCATCAGGTTGACGGACGAATCCTGTAGAACCGAGCTTGCTGGCTATTTGCGCCCATGCTGCTGGTCGGCTAAATTATATTTCAGGCTGGCATCTGGCAGCTTGATCGACGGATCCCCTAGAACCGAGCCTGGGGCCTACTTGCACCCATGCCGATGATGATATAAATTATATTCCAGGACGGAGTCTGGTAGGTTGATTGACGGATCTCCAAGAACCAAGCCTAGGGGCTACTTGTCCCCAAACGCCATTACTCGGCTGAGGTAGATACCAAGGAGATTCGACCCTTAGGTTGGCCATGTTGACCGACCTAAGTCTCCGGAGCTACTGCATTGATGTTTTAGTCAAAAATTATAAGTGTAATGAACAATTCGAGAAGATTCGATTCTTATGTCGGCCATTCTGCCCGACCTGAATTTTGGGGGCTGCCGGATCAATGGTTTTAAATAATAAGCTATACCTGGGGAGATTCGATCCTTGGGCTAGCCATTCTGCCTTACCTGGATCTTGGGGGCTACTGCACCCGTGTTTTCTCCTAAGACTAAATTATACGACCTGTAGTCCATCTTGTGTCAAGCCGGACTATAGTTCGGGGGCTAAAGTATGTGAAAGTGCTAAGTTATGTTGCATGACTCATGGCGCCGACCGGATGTAATGCCGATCCATACCTTGAGGGCTACTGGCTATATAATTTGGTAGAGAGTAAATTGCATCAATCCATTTTTTTTCAAAGCCGAAACTCGTCTTGCTGGAGCCGAATTCACGAAAAATAATTCCACAAAGGTTGGCTATCTACAACAACAAATCAAGATCAAAGTGGTCCATCCGACTTCAGGAAGCAAGCCAGCCGTAGGAGGTCGGCGATGAGCACTACGCAGGAATTCAGCCCACGGAGGCCGGCTGCGCGGGAACTTTTTGTGGAGCTGGTAGGATGTGATCTTCATCGACAAGTCAAGGCCGAGGTGATTTGTTCCAGTTCGGGTGCAATCCGGCAATTTGAGTCTGGTTGCAAGCTGATACTCTCAGGAGAAGCTTCGGTGAACTGGTTTCAACGTCTGTGGATTGAACACAATGCATGCTTTTTGAAGAAAGCTTCAATTATTGCACACGTAATTCAACTATCTGACTGAAATTTACAATTTGAAATTATGTAGGATGCTAGTGATTAAGGGATTGTTCTTGGCCAAAAAAATGATATAAATTAAATGTTATTCTTTGTGCTAGTAAGACCTTCTACAACGCTAAAAAATGAAACAACTATTTTTTTTAAATTGTTATCTTTGCTTACGACAAATGTAGATCTTATACTGTTCAGTATAAAGTAATTGTTCACATAAATCATGTTGCTAGTAAATACCTTATGGATAAGAAAGATGTTAATCCTAGAATTACTAAATATGTCCATTCACAAGTAGAAATCATTCTTCCTCCTTTAAACACATTCAGCTAGAAATCCGTGTGCGTTTTACTTATATCGTACATTTAGGGAGAGACAGAATGTGCAATCCATTTTCGTTTGGTTTTGTTCCATAATTATTATTCTCAACATAGGAATGTAATACCATGATAAAATGGTGAAAATGTAACTGTAATTTTCTTTTCAGAAGAACAATTGTGCCTCCTAGTTACAAGATAAAGTTTGGCCATGTGAATAAAAGGAACACGGGATGAAGATCCATCCAACCTCTAGTTGATCGCCTGCTTAAAATAGTTAGCAGGCGATAGTACTGGTTGTCCCTAATGTTAGCTTGGGTAGAATCTCCTGTATGTGTATATGCCACGTTTCAGAGAGAAACCAGTGTTGGAACGAAAACATTTTTCTCGATGAGATATATGCAGAGTTAATATTCATGATGCAAGTACGAATGTACAGCTCAATTAGAGTCCCAAGTTGTTTCGTTTGTTAGGTTTAGTCCCTTCACTCAAAACCACATTCTGCAATAATTTAATCAGATTAAATTAAACCTGATAAAAAACACAGCTAAATCAAAACTTTTCTTTATCTTCTCCTACCCATACCTAAATCAAATCAAATCCTACCAAAACCTCAACTAAATCGAAGCTTTTCCTTGCATTTCCCTACCCATACTCAAATCATATCAAATCTTACCAAAATTTAGGATATGATGGGTGTAAGAGCATCTACAACCGGGCCCCATATTTTTCCTGTAGCGGACAGCCCAGACAGGGGAGGGAAGAAAAAAAAAGCTCTCAACCGGATCCCTCAAATTGTCCTCATATGTCCATGTTTTCCGTGAACCCTTTCTCTCTTTGTTTTTTTTTCTTTCTCTCTATTTATCTTCACCAATCATGTGCATGTGACTGGAAATGAAAATAGTAAGGGGCATAGCTGCATGAAACAAACAAATGAGGTCGCGGAGCGGACACGTCTCAGGGGATGTATATATCGGGGATCAAATTAGGTTAGTCCGAATGTAGATGGTCTAAGGTATACGACGGTCACGATTAATATTGAAGGATATGTATATTACTAGCTACTCCCTCCGTTTCAATTTACTCGTCGTGTTTTTAGTTCACATTTGAACTAAAACCACGACGAGTAAATCGGGAGGGAGGGAGTACTTTTATAGCAGGCAAGGTAAGCAACGTCTGTGTGGTGCATAAATAGGCGCCGAGGGGACCTCACAACTCACAAGGGCGCCGTCCTCCATAGCAGCACAGCACAGCACACCCACCCTCATCTTTAGCTCTGCCGAAGCACAAGCACCCACCCTCATCTTGGTCTCTCTATCCGTACGCCTCCCTCATCCCTCCCTTCACCTCCGATACATGGAGGCGAACCAGGAGAAGGCTCCGGAGACTGCCAGCGGCGGCGACGCCCCGAGGCCTGTGCGAGCGGTGTGCGTCTTCTGCGGCAGCCGGCCTGGCAACCAGCCGTCCTTCAGCGCCGCCGCCCTCGACCTCGGGAAGCAACTGGTGAGACACCAACCAAAATAGCTAGCTAGCCGTCAAGCTCTGCCCATGTGGTGCATGTCCCGCTGACATGCATGGTTCTCGACGGCGCACGCACGTACGCGTCCTTTTGCAGGTGGAGAGGCAGCTCGATCTCGTCTACGGCGGCGGCAGCGGCGGCCTGATGGGACTCGTGTCCAAGGCCGTCCACGACGGCGGCCGCCACGTCCTCGGGTAAAGTCCTGCAGTACGCTGCCTCTCACTCTCTGAGATACAGCTTCCATGGAGCTATAGCTTGCAGTTTTACCATGAATAATGGTCTGGCTGGCCGCTCCTGTGTGCAGGGTCATCCCTAGTGCTCTCCTGCCGGAAGAGGTAGTGCATGCGCGAATCTCTTCTGCCACCGTACACTAGACACATACATGTCCTGCTCTCCCTGCAGCATCTGCATGAACGAAATGCATGCATATGCATGTGCTTGATTATTTTTACTTCTAGTATATATGAAACGTGTTTTTGAATATCTACTACGTGCGTACGAGCATTTCCTAGGTGTCAGGGGAGACGTTGGGAGAGGTGAAAGTGGTGAGGGACATGCATGAGCGCAAGTCAGAAATGGCAAAACACTCGGACGCCTTCATCGCCCTGCCAGGTCACAGACTGCCCCACTCATCTTAGCCACTATGGACTACTCGTGTGTGTGTTTGTGTTTCTTGGAAAATGTTGCTAAGCCAAACGTTTAAGGTCGACATGACATGATAATAACAAATCAAGAAAGAAGCTTAGTAGTAAACGGGTGAAGTTCTTGCGTTGCGGCTCATTTCTTGTGTGACGTACCTGCGTGCAGGCGGATATGGGACGATCGAAGAGCTGCTGGAGATCATAACGTGGGCGCAGCTGGGGATCCATAACAAACCTGTAAGCTTGTCGTATTTAACTGCAATTCTGCATTATTCCTACATTAATGTATGTGCCGGGGCCAGTGATTGGTTAGCCAGATACTAGTTGTGTGTACATATATGTGTACGTAGGCCCTCGTGCCTGCCCTAATCCTCACGCCGTTCCTAGCTAGCTCAGCGAAAGCGATGTGTAACTAACCAATGGCAACTTACGTACGGTTGTTGGTGATGTCTCGTTGCATTAGGTGGGCCTGCTCAACGTGGACGGCTACTACAACAGCCTGCTTTCGCTGTTCGACAAGGGCGTCGAGGAGGGCTTCATCGACGACGCCGCGCGCAACATCTTCGTCCTCGCCGACAACGCCGCCGACCTGCTCACCAAGCTTACGGCCGCGGCGGTGGCGGCCCACGCTGACGACGGCGGCGGCGAGGACCGCAACGGCACGGCGGCCGCCGGCGCCAAGAGGAAAAGAGGCTAGCTGACTAGCGAGCACCGAGCAGCAGGTCCCTGCCCGTCGTCGTGTAGCTTCGTCTTCGTCAAGATCTATTAGCTCTCAAATAATCTGCTTCTTCATGCATGTAATATCGAGCGTGCCCTAACCCTAATAATATTCCGTGGCTAGCACAAAGTATGCATGCTTCAATGCTCCGTAATTAAGCACAAGTGTACAAGTGTACGGGTGTTGGAGTTGTACCTTACAGCGCAGCGGGTCGTACCATCGCGTTGTACTCTTCCCACCCACTATTTTATGTTTTCTGACTACGATATTAATGTGCACAGTCATGTCAGCAGAACACAGCGCACTCGTTTCGTAGTACCACGTACACCTAGTACAGCATGCCGTGCAGCTGGCAAAATGAAAACAAAAGATAGGCGCGAACCCTCTCACATGGACCCACAAGCTTCTGAGCATCTACAACCATGGTTGCGTAATCCGGTGCCCTACACGTACGTTGGGGCCCATGCAGAGGTAGATCATGGCAACGTAGAAATATAGAGCACAATCGGGCACAGATCAACATAGCACCCAGAAGACATATATAGTTCAACATTCCACACAAAAGGCACAGTTCACGTCGGGCATAGTTCTTAGCCGGATATATTACTAGATACTCCCTCCATCCGAAAATACTTGTCATCAAAATGGACGAAAAGGGATGTATCTAGAACTAAAATACATCTAGATACATCCCCTTTTATTCATTTTGATGACAAGTATTTCCGGACGGAGGGAGTACAACATAGGACACAGTTCATCACACCCAAAAGAGATAGTTAGCCGGATATATTACTAGATACAAACTAATTTAATTAGCTAGAGGAGGTGAGGATGCGAAAATCACCATTTCTTAGCCGGCCCCCTAGCCTTGATGTCACCGGAGCGGCGGTACATCTCTTTCGTGTAGGCGTCCGCAACGGGAGGAGGAGGATCATCGCCATCCTTGTCCGTGCTGGTGGTGCCGCTGTCCGACGCCGAGTAGATGTAGCCGGAGAAGCGGCGGATGGCGCGAGCTTGCTCCTTCGTGTGGCATGCCGACTTGGCCTTGACGGTCTCCTTCTCCCTCGCGAGGGGCTCCGACGCCTTGATCCTGAGCCGGAGTGCCTTCGCATTCTTGCGCCGGAGGCACGAATCATCCGTCGCTAAGGTAAGCAAACAACGCATAACCTCATGGAGGAGCTGCTCCTCCGGGTCAGACAGGACGGAGCGGGCGTGTCGGCGGGAAAGGCCGGCCTCTGCCCCCCTCTGCGCGGCCCACTGCCGCTCACGGTGGGCGACCTTTCACCTTCGACTCCGCCATCCACATCCTTTCAGTATCCAAGGGCACATGCACCTAACACTGCCCAGGAGTAGCTGGCGCCGGAGGGAAAGGGGAGAGGGCAGTCCTGCTATGGATCAGGAGCAGTGCGGAGCAGGACGGGCGAGCATGTTAGGTCACATAGCCGCTGCGAGACCGGGAGGAGCTGGCGGAGGACGGCGCCGGCTCGAGCTTCCTCAAGTGTCTAGTCGAGACCTCTCGATTGCGATGCGGAGCACGAGCTCCTCACTATCTGGCGCGTTGCTGCCAGGGCCAGAGTCCTCCATCACGAGGACGTCCCAGTCCATGGGATTAGACTCGTTGTCGGAGTCATCGCCGGACCCGACCTTGGTACTAGTAAAGGGGACGGGAGAGATTAGGGAGAGGAAGGGGAGCAGAGAGGGTGAGAGGACTGGGAGGAGTGGGGTTTGACTAAGGTTCTCAGGCCAGATGGGGGTTTTGTGGGGACAGTGGTGGGGGTGGCATGGGCTATAGAGGGCCTGTCCGACGTGGCGGCGGTGTCCGGGCCTCCGCATATCCACCCCACATATGGGCTGGACACGTGGATCATCGGACAGTACTGGCGCTTGGGCTGGTTGTGGGAACCCGGTTGGGTGCTAATTTTTGGCCCTGACACTGGTCGGACAGCAGGCCCGGGCGTTTGGGGAGGATGTAGGCCGCCCAGTTATAGATGCTCTCATTGGGCTTCACCAATTTTGAAGGTAAGGACTAAAGAAGCTCGTTAAGTTGGGGCTACTGTGTTATCATCGTACTCTACCACATCTAGAAAGGAGAAATTTTATGAACTTTCTAGAACTTTGAAGGTATCTTTAAAGGAAATCGACGGGTTCC